TTGTTATGAAGATCATGGAACGGGCAGTACATAATCAATTGCAAGAATATCTAACAGAAAATAATGTTCTCTCTCCGAATCAATCAGGTTTTCGTAAAGGTCATAGTACCCATACTGTTTTAACCTATTTTACTGATTTTATTTATAGACAAATGGATAAGGGTCACATGACAGGCGCGGTCTTCATAGACCTGCGCAAGGCTTTCGACTCTGTAGATCGTAAAATAATGTTAGAAAAGCTTTGTAAGTATGGTATACTGGGTCAAGAAATTAATTGGTTCATGGAATACTTGAGTGATCGGAAACAAAAAGTTGTACTCGGAAAATTTGAATCAGATTGGGGTACGACTTTGTCAGGCGTACCACAAGGCGCCAATTTGGGCCCGTTGTTGTTTACTGTTATGGTGAATGATCTTCCTAAGGTGGTATCAAAATGCCAAGTAATGTTATATGCAGACGATGCTGTACTTTTTTTTAGTAGTAAAAAAAGTGAGGACATTGAATCGGCCTTGAACATTGATTTGAAACTAGTTTATGAGTGGGTAAAAGAAAACAATCTGGCATTAAACCACAAAAAAACAGAATTTATGTTATTTGGTTCACAAATGAAATTAGCTAAACTTGAAAAATCTATATGCATTCAACTCGAGCAACACCAAATCTCTCAGGTTTATATCTATAAATATTTAGGAGTCTGGCTAGATCCAACATTGAACTGGAAAGAACACGTGACAAAAACAAGTAAAAAGATAGGGTCAAGGATAGCATTACTTGGTCGTTCAAAAAGATACCTACCTTTGGAGGGACTGAAGCTTCTTGCCAATGCATTAATTTTACCTTTATTTGAATATTGTTGTAATACATGGTCTAATTGTTCACAAAATGTCCGAGATGTAATCATTAAACAACACAAGAAAATGGCCAGAGTAATTTTGGGGGCCAATGTAAGAACCCCAACTCAAGAAAATTTAAATAAACTCAAGTGGGTAAGCATTCAAAGTAGGTGGAATTATTTCAAATGTAAAATGATTTATTCTGTTTTTCAAAATCAAACTCCCGTCTATATTTTACAAATGTTTCAAAAAACCCAATCTTTACATAATATTAGAACACGCAGTGCACAAAACGCAGGATTAATTTTACCCAAAATAAAAACCCAGATGGGGAAACAAAGTTTTTCATTTGATGGTGCGGCTTTCTGGAATACTTTACCTAATTTTTTAAAAAATGCACCATCAAATTCTTCATTTACTCTTTTGTTTTGGCGCTATAATAATTTAAATCATTGAACTGGTCCATTGTGTTGTGTTTGTTTCTTTTCTTTTGTTCGAAAATGTTGTAACTTAATTCACTTTGTTTCGATTTGGATTGTTTGTTTTTCAATATATTTGTTAATTTTGTATTTATGTTGTAGGGCCTCCACGGAAAACAGTATTGAACTACTGATGGAGCCACCCTACTAAAAAAAGACTAATAAATAAATAAAAAATAAAAAAATAAAAATCCCCTTTTATATACTCTAGACGTTATATGCGCCAAACGTTTAAGTTTGTTCTGGACATTGGTTGATATGCGCTCAAATAAGACCTTTTTATTGTCAGCTGCTAGAATTTGTGCACCCCGTATTGGGTGAGGTATATAATAATCTACATTTCATGTGATTTTCAGCAAATTTAAGGCAAATGGGAAATAGCGGCGACTGTATTAAAGCCCGAAACCCCCTTCACCGATATACTCAACATGTTATGCGCTATACGTTTAGGTTTGTTCTGCCACATTGGTTGATATGCGCTCAAATAAGACCTTTTTATTATCGGCTGCTAGAATTTTTGCACCCCGTATTCGATGAGGTATATATTAATCTACATTTCATGTGAGTTTCAGCACATTTAAAGCAAATGGGAAATCAGCAACGAATGTATTATCCCCTATCCCCTTTTATATACTCTAGACGTTATATGCGCCAAACGTTTAGGTTTGTTCTGAACATTGGTTGATATGCGCTCAAATAAGACCTTGTTAATGTCGGCTGCTAGAAATTTTGCACCCCGTATTCGATGAGGTATATAATAATCTACATTTCATGTGAGTTTCAGCACATTTAAAGCAAATGGGATATCAGCAACGAATGTATAATTAACCCCAACCCCTTTTATATACTCTAGACGTTATATGCGCCAAACGTTTAGGTTTGTTCTGGACATTGGTTGATATGCCTTCAAATAAAACCTTTTTATTGTCAGTTGCTAGAATTTTTGCACCCCGTATTGGGTGAGGTATATAATAATCTACATTTCATGTGATTTTCAGCAAAATTAAGGCAAATGGGAAATATCGGCGACTGTATTAAAGCCCGAAACCCCTTTCACCGATATACTAAACATGTTATGCGCTATACGTTTAGGTTTGTTCTGCCACATTGGTTGATATGCGCTCAAATAAGACCTTTTTATTATCGGCTGCTAGAATTTTTGCACCCCGTATTCGATGAGGTATATAATAATCTACATTTCATGTGAGTTTCAGCACATTTAAAGCAACTGGGAAATCAGCAACGAATGTATAAACCCCACCCCATTCTATATGCTCTAGACGTTATATGCGCCAAACGTTTATGTTTGTTCTGGACATTGGTTGATATGCGCTCAAATAAAACATTTTTATTATCGGCTGATGGAATTTTTGCACCCCGTATTAGATGAGGTATATAATAATCTACATTTTATGTGAGTTTCAGCACATTTAAAGCAAATGGGATATCAGCAACGAATGTATAATTAACCCTAACCCCTTTTATATACTCTAGACGTTATATGCGCCAAACGTTTAGGTTTGTTCTGGACATTGGTTGATATGCCTTCAAATAAGACCTTTTTATTTTCAGCTGCTAGAATTTTTGCACCCTGTATTTGGTGAGGTGTATAATAATCTACATTTCATGTGATTTTGAGCAAAATTAAGGCAAATGGGAAATATCGGCGACTGTATTAAAGCCCGAAACCCCCTTCACCGATATACTAAACATGTTATGCGCTATACGTTTAGGTTTGTTCTGCCACATTGGTTGATATGCGCTCAAATAAGACCTTTTTAATGTCGGCTGCTAGAAATTTTGCACCCCGCATTCGATGAGGTATATAATAATCTACATTTCATGTGAGTTTAAGCACATTTAAAGCAAATGGAAAATTAGCAACGATTGTATTAACCCCCACCCCATTCTATATACTCTGGACGTTATATGCACCAAAAGTTTAAGTTTGTTTTGGACATTGGTTGATATGCCGTCAAATAATATCTTTTTAATGTCGGCTGCTAGAAATTTGCACCCCGTTTTCGATGAGGTATATAATAATCTACATTTCATGTGAGTTTCAGCACATTTAAAGCAAATGGGAAATCAGCAACGAATGTATTAACCCCCATCCCCTATTATCGTAATTCTGTTTCCTGTTCACTCCCTCACTTTCTCATCGATCCGGACACTTATCTGCTATCGTTTTGCTTGTTTTTTATATTTTATATATATATATATTTTAAATAACGGTATAGTTACAGACCTCCACTGATACAAGACCTTTATATAGTTATACTGAAAAATGCACCATATCATTATATGTAAATATAACAAATTTTGTTATCATGGGTTATGAAGCAGCACCTGCACCTTATACTTTTTGTTTATATAAGAAAAATCTTTGTTCAGATTGCTTAATTTATGTTGAACTAATTAATTTGCATATTATGTTGTAAAAATTGTTCCTTTTTATAATGTTGTATCCAAGTATTACCTTCACCTTTTCCTTCCTTAAAGGAATTGGAGCACATTCTGTACACTTGTTTGAATGTGTACTATATTAGTTTGGATACTTATGGAAAATATTTTTTAAATATGTCTGTGTTTATAATGTATGAGACAATGTACTACATGTATGTTTATACTGTAACAACAATTGTGTTCCTATTCATCATTTTGTATAATTATGACGATCTGAATAAAGGCAAAAAAGCTTTTAAATTTTTTTTTTTAAAATAACACCATGTACACTAAAATAATTTTTTTGCATATACAAAAAATGGAAGAAAAAAGTTTCTTTGAATTTAATTGAACGGAGTATGTTCCTCGTTTTTTCTCTCTCTCTCTCTCTCTATCTCTCAGTGTTTGAGTGGATTTGATGAGATTTCAACTAACAGATAGCAATATCGAATTTAATTCGTACCTTTAATTCTTTCGTTCTCTCTCTCTCTCTCTCCATCTCCGTCTCCGCCTGTGTCTGTTTCTCTCCGTCTCTCTTAATAGTACATAACTGGAAATTAGAAATTGTAATACGTACTATGAAAAGCATATTTAAAATGTTATCTTCTCATGCTTATTGTATAGTATCTACATGCTTGGCTATAACTAATCATTTCACTGGTACAGCTAACGTGTACGAGGAATATTGAAGGTTGGCATTGATATTTGCAGAATAAAATAAGCTATTCAATGGACAGCTTAATGATACAAAAATGATTTCAATTTACCGATAACAAGACTTAATTGCGTAGGCCTGTACACGTATCAGGACAACTACCCCAGGGAAATCCCCCTCCCGTTGACAATTACCCCCCCCCCCCCCAGGACAATTCCCCTAGGACAATAACCCCCCCCCCCCCCCTCCCCTCTCGTGGACAGTTACTTCCCGGAAAATTAGACAACTAGACATTGTGATGAGTCACTGATATGTAACTGATCTAAAAACACTTGTCGCTAAAAAAATACATTTATCTATACAGACCCAAATTTTGGTACTCTCTACGTAATTATTTCAAACTTACCCCATCACTCAATTCATCTAATAGAAAATCAAATAATATGTTTTACAATCTTATAAAACAAATAAAAACTCCGTGTAGTCAATTCGTGTTTTACTTTCCCCCTTTCTGTTATCTATATTTTTTTCGACAGTCGCCCTTCTTTTCTTTTTCATTATAACACACAACTTGTCATCGTCTCTGCGTCATTCACTTCGTGCGCTTTCTACTTTCTTCTCTTCTTCTCTGTTCTCATGGGAACCCCTATTTATACCTTTGTACTTTCCTGTTCCCCTGTTCCCCTGTTCCCCTGCTCCCCCGCTCCCCTGCTCCCCTGTTCCCCTGTTCCCCTGCTCCCCTGCTCCCCTGCTCCCCTGTTCCCCTGCTCCCCTGCTCCACTGTTCCCCTGTTCCCCTGCTCCCCTGCTCCCCTGCTCCACTGCTCCCCTGTTCCCCTGCTCCCCTGCTCCCCTGCTCCCCTGCTCCCCTGCTCCCCTGTTCCCCTGCTCCCCTGTTCCCCTGTTCCCCTGCTCCCCTGCTCCCCTGTTCCCCTGCTCCCCTGCTCCCCTGTTCCCCTGCTCCCCTGTTCCCCTGTTCCCCTGCTCCCCTGCTCCCCTGCTCCCCCGCTCCCCCGCTCCCCTGTTCCCCTGTTCCCCTGTTCCCCTGCTCCCCTGCTCCCCTGTTCCCCTGTTCCCCTGTTCCCCTGCTCCCCCGCTCCCCCGCTCCCCCGCTCCCCAGCTCCCCTGCTCCCCTGTTCCCCTGCTCCCCTGCTCCCCTGCTCCCCTGCTCCCCTGCTCCCCTGCTCCCCTGCTCCCCTGTTCCCCTGCTCCCCTGCTCCCCTGTTCCCCTGCTCCCCTGTTCCCCTGTTCCCCTGCTCCCCTGCTCCCCCGCTCCCCCGCTCCCCTGTTCCCCTGTTCCCCTGCTCCCCTGCTCCCCTGCTCCCCTGTTCCCCTGCTCCCCTGTTCCCCTGCTCCCCCGCTCCCCTGCTCCCCTGCTCCCCCGCTCCCCCGCTCCCCTGCTCCCCTGTTCCCCTTTTCCCCTGTTCCCCTGTTCCCCTGTTCCCCTGCTCCCCTGCTCCCCTGCTCCCCTGCTCCCCTGTTCCCCTGTTCCCCTGCTCCCCTGTTCCCCTGCTCCCCTGTTCCCCTGTTCCCCTGCTCCCCTGTTCCCCTGTTCCCCTGTTCCCCTGTTCCCCTGCTCCCCTGTTCCCCTGTTCCCCTGCTCCCCTGCTCCCCTGTTCCCCTGTTCCCCTGCTCCCCTGTTCCCCTGCTCCCCTGTTCCCCTGTTCCCCTGCTCCCCTGTTCCCCTGTTCCCCTGTTCCCCAGCTCCCCTGCTCCCCTGCTCCCCTGTTCCCCAGCTCCCCTGCTCCCCTGCTCCCTTGAGGCTCACACTGAATACTTCAAAATGTAGCGAACCGCAAAAATTAACTTACGACTGCTTGACAATTTATTACGGTTTATATGAATCCCCATGATCACGTCTCAGGGGGATAAAACAGTTAAATTGTCGGGTTTAAAATTTGTCTGATCTAATATTCCAGTATGAATTTTAAGTGGAGGTAAGGGAAGGATGATGGCTGCCTTTTTGATTTCGTTAGATGATTCCCTGGTCAGATGACTGCGTTTGAGTTTGCTTTGTTTCTAGCCTTAACTTGGCCTAGAGTTTGAATCAGTTTCACCGATTGAAAATAAGAAAGTCATTTTTTGTTTTAAAGTGCGATTGATCAAACACAAATTGGCAACTCAATCTGTGTATTACATTATTATTACCAGCTATTTTCCAAACATTGTTATCTCCGGTAACATGCCCCGATCCCTTATCACTTAATATTGATAATAATATATTCCCTCTATCTTGATACTGGTAGATTCATAAGATGCGGGACTTATGAGAGCGTGGATGATGTCACCATTGCGTACAATGAAGACCAGGTCATGGAGGTGGAGGTGGAGCATGGCAAACCACGGGGGTAAGTCCTTAAAACTTTAACTTCAAGACTCGCATCGCCCTTAAAGGTAATACAATTTTTTGGTATGGGGCCGTGAACTTGGTTCAAATAAACGTATTGGAAGCATATACTATCCTACAATATTCAGTGATCGTTGTCGCGTTCGAAATCAAGTCTAAAGTTATGCAATTGTAAATAATAAACTCTTTATATTGTATAGCTCCCTCTCAAGGTCAAGATACTAATAAAGCTATAAAACAATGTTTCTTGACTGAAATCTACCGATTAGCTATTCCTGTTTGGAATTTATATATCACAACTACATATTCTGAGAATTTCATGGTCGCAGCTACCATTGTAAATTTGTATATTAAATATTTCTCGAGAACAGAAGTGTTTCAAGGGCTAAATTTTTCTAGTGCTTATAATACAACCACAGGGGCGTCCAAATATATGAAAATTGTAAAGAATCACTATCCATCCTATTTTCAAAATTTTCCAAAACTTTGCATTACCTTTAACAACTGCATGACATTTAGTTATGATTGCTAGTCTCTTTAACCCTCTGCGATAGTCGGTGCTTTAGTATCGTACACACGATCACATGTATTTTTTTCCTCGAGGAGAGTGTGTGTGCAATATAGCTTTCTTCCTCTTACGACTTACTGGCTGACTAGAGTGCAACAAAAATGAGGAGTAATGTTAAAATTAGTGGGAGACTAGCAGAAGTGCTCGTCTCCTCATGCCAGTCGTTTTTGATATTCATTCAGACGCGAGGTCTTCTCGAAAGCCATGTATGTTTTTAGATAGGCTTATACAGAAATAGAAAAACAAAGTATCTTAAATATCTTAAAGCATGTAGTTATTTCCCGTCTCGGGAGGGGGAGTGAAGTATTATTTTACATTAAAAAAATGCTATTGACTTACATACATATGTGTTTATATTATTCTTTCCATTTTTATCGAGAATAATACGAACTGACATTATGTATCACTTATGATCTCACATAAATCAATCTGTGCAAAATGTAACGAAGAGTTAACGAAAGGCGCATACGTAAAAATAACATTCCTTTGAAATGTGTAATTATGAATGTTCCAATGTGCCCATTGGAAGGTATAGATAACATGTAGGCCTATGTCCTTACATTGTTCACGTATTTTTGTAGTAAAACGTTTTCTATCTAGTAATAGTAAACAGATTATTAGTAAAGATGGTTTTGTTTGACGTAAAGCCGTATGGTATTGAAGTTCTCTTCTTTGTCCTCCGTTTACTGCTCTATGTGGTAATTTTGATGCAGCGTTGCTTCATTGTTCATGCACACATTTATACTGCTCTCTCTCTCTCTTCTCTCACGGCAGTCAATATCTTAGGTAATAGGTTGATGAAACCGTAGTCGATTTGACGAATCACACGGATCAGACGATCTTTGCACGCAAACAGGGAATAAAGACTGAAGTGAAGAGTGCATAAAACACATCCTTATATATCTAGGCTTATCAGATAATTGCTCAACGTTCGATTTGAAAAACGGATTTTGGCTATACAAATACAATTGACATGTATCGAGTCATTCACCCAATGAATCACGTTGATATTCATTTAATATGACATGGATATGTATTCTTTACATCGGTTTTGTGGCTCTTTTTCTTTCATTGAAAAAATTACGATTTTGTCTTCCTTCGAAATGTATTAAGTAGTTCATTCATTTAGGATACTACAAAGGGTGTTAATCATAGATTTACACAGTGAAAATCTCAAAACTTGTAAAAGGGTCAAAATGTTGGGAATATCATAATTGAAACTTTCCTAAAAGTATGGTGGAAAAATTAACATTATTAGAAAACATTACAGTCATTATTTTGACTATTCAAATTTGAAATTGCAACTGGCAGTGTTTTATTCACCGCATTTGTTATTTTTTTCACTGAATGTACCTACCCTCTTTTTTTGATAAACATGAATAAATAAATAAATAAATAAAACAAAAATGGAGGGCTCAATTTTTCTTCATATCCAGAGTCTTTTGATCTGAAATTTTGCACACACTTTCATAACTCATCTTGCTGCTATATATAATATGTGAAAGTAATTCTGAGGGCTTGCAAATCCCTGATAGAGGCCTTAAACATACACATGTATAATGAAATTAAATTGTGTTCTCATGGAAGAAGAGCCAGCTCGGTTAATCATGGACATTTTACAAATCTTCAGAGTTTGTAGACCTGTAAAGGAGGTGATGAATTGCTGTGAGCAAAATGAAATATAAATACAAAATTAAGGAAATGTATCTACTCATGTAGGCCTATATCACCCTTGCAAAGAGGTCAAGTGTAGACTACTAACTTTTTCTTCACAAATATAACACTGTATTTTTGTTTTATCTAATATCTCTTGTATACGAACTGTTGCATGTATTATGTTCAAGGTATGTTTGATTTTTGTTATCTTAGTTTGGAAGGTATTCCTAATGTCTTTCTTAACTGGGCCTAAGTATAGTTTCTATACTTTGTATATATACTATCAAAAGCATATGTTGCCTTTTTTCAAAGTCTAATACATATCGAAATATGTTAATAGTTACTTTGCATTGGATTTAAAATTTAACTACCATCTATATTACTTTTAATGTTTAATGTTATATTAAGATATTATAAATATGCAACAACGTTTTCCTGAACAAAAAAAGCAAAGCAAAACAAAACAAACAAACCATTCATTCATTACGAGGATACCAAATACTTTATATATATGTTTATACATGTTCTTACTTATTCTTTGTTGCTGTTATGAGTTTATGTTCATGGTTTTGCTATTATTATTTTTTTTCTTCAAAATATCTTTTCTTATTATGTACTAACAGGGCCTCATGGAAGACCACTATTATTGTCTAAATATCCGGGGGGGGGGAATAAGGGCAAACAACCTTGTCTGATATAATAGCTGGTAATTTTGTACGATGATAATTTGAAAATAACGTAGCCAAATCACGATATGTGCCTATGCATATGCATACAAAGGAGTGTCTTTGCAACGCAGGTTATTAATTACTAAATAATTATAAATGTATAGGAATGTCAAATATCGCAACATATGTTTTTTTCTACAAGTTCAACTAGTGGTTGAACACTATTAAGTTCGATGGAAGAACATTATTACATTGATTCACTAAGCATCAAGCTTAGTATCCGGAATGTATTTCTGCACTTTCTGTAAATATGGTAAAGTGCATTGAGACATTTCCGCACAAATCACAATTTATTACTAGTAGTATAGTTTTCAGTAGTAGTAGTAGTCATAGGCGCCGGAAGTGGGGGGGGGGGGGCAAAAAAAAGCAGTAAAGGAGTAAAGATGGTTTGTATTTTTAACCCAAAAGAACATAACAATAATAAAAACCTGAATTTAATCACATATAAAATTCCATTCAAAGAAAAGGAAAAACATTGCGCATGCCACCTATATTAAATGGAGGTTTTTATAATAGCGATACGCGCATATCGTGGACATATTGTGAGAATGGGAAAGCGTGTCTGTTTTTGTTTTTTTGTTATAGGGGTGAGAAGACATGAGCCCCTGAACGCTGGCGTACTGATGGGGGTATTTCTTATTCGAAACCAGTGATTTAGAAATGTTGTTGAAATGACATGATTTTCCGGTATTTTTTCTCAATTTATTTTTAAGTCATAACTTTTTATGCGTTTGTTGGAAAATTAGAAATTCCCTAATTTACAGTCGGGCGAAAAAATATGCTTATTTAGATGCCTTTATGTCAGGGTATGCAGAGCGGCTGGGCTCGGAGGCTCGAGCCCCCTCACTTTTTGAAAAAGTATGTTACAGAGAAAAAGAAAGAAAGAAAGAGAGAAAAAATAAATGACCTGCCAATGTCACAAATGAGGTATCAAAATATGCTCATCTGACCGTAATTAAATGCCTAAAACCACAGAGCTTCCGGTGGCTCTGCCCCCTGGACCCCATCAAGGAGCCTAAGGCGGCTCCCTGGAAGCTCATCTGACCGTTATTAAATACCTAAAACCCCTGAGCTTCCAGGGGCTCTGCCACCTGGACCCCACCAAGGGCCCTAAGGCGGCCCCTGGATGCTAATCTAACCGTAATTAAATACCTAAAACCCCTGAGCTTCCGGGGGCTCTACTCCCTGGACTCTCCGCCAATTAGTGACCTGCCAGTGTCACAAATAAGGTATTTAACTATGCTTATCTGACCTTAATTTAATGCCAAAAAAAACCCTGAGCTTCCGGGGGCTTAGCTCCTTGACCCCACGCAAATTTACGCTCTACCTGATCGTTAATATTCCACTCTGAAAAACGTTCCGCGGGGCCTCCATGTCACGTGTAGGAGTGGTGGTGATGACGATTTTTCTTCTGAATAGTAGTAGTAATAGTTGCTGGTGTAGATACTGTCTCGTTGAAGATGTTAATGCTGTGGCGTATAAGTATAAGAAGTTGCATTGATTCATTGCAGACATGATCTATCAATATCAATTATTCCGTTCATTGTGAGCGGTAACTTGTTAAACGTCAAATATTGTTTACTGAAACTGATTATTTTGTTTACATTGATATGTTCTCATTTAAATGAATCCATTATCATGAAAATGTTGAATTTAACAGTGATGAATTATTACATCGTCATTCATGTACTGTAATATAAATTCATATTAAGAATGCATGACGATTTTTTAAGCGGTTATGCGTTATCATGAAGGCCATATTAATCAAATGTAAATAATGCAATGTGCCTTAAATTTATCTACTCATGTTTTCGTATATTTTGCATGCTCCTAGTTTGATGCATTTCAATAAACATGGCTATATTTGTAATAGTTATTTGTTAGAATACAATTATTCTGCATTACCATGTAAAGCACATAGGGTCTGAACTGGCTGTATTATGCGCTATATAAATATTAACTTATTGTAATCACTAATAAAGAAAGAAAACATTAATGTTTATTCTCGCACAGAATCCACGTAAAGTATAATGAA